CACCTCCGTAGCAGCACCTGCGACACGGGAGGAATTCAGAAAGGCACATACCAACCTCTGCGGCTGCCGGTGGCTTTAGGAAGGTGGAAGAGATGCAGCTCTGCTGCCTCTCAGCCCTGTAAAAGGGTGAGGATAAGGCCAGTAGGATGAGCTGCAGGAACTGGGAGGCTGTGGGAAGGTTTTACCACGCTATGGTAATATATATATTACAGCATTATGAGGAATCCCCAAATGGTTGATTAACTGTCAAATTGTGATGCTATGCCCGTGCATGATCTTATCTGGGAAAAATGCAGCAAGGCAAACTAATTAAAATACTAACCTGGTTTTTCTTTACATGTCTGCTTTTTTATCCCCTCTTCTTTTTCTCAGTTTTTTTCTCCTCCTTTTCATTTCCTTCCTTGCCCCTCATTTTTCCTCTTTATTATTCATAAAATTCCCTTTTATCATTTGCTTCCCATCTAGTTTCTTTCATTTCTCCTTTTCTCCCAGCCCCTCTGTGCCCCATGTTGCATTTCCCCTTCTGTTAATCAGTCCTTCCCCAGATCCTGACACCTCGTGGGAACTGTCGTTCAAGGGCTTTAAGGCCAATTTTACAGTTTTTCCTGTCTTGTTCTTTTCTTATCTACTTCACAGGGGTAGGGACTGTCAGTCTGACTGGCAGAGCGTTCCTGTTGTGGCTGAAGCTGCTGATGGAAGAACAAACTTGCTGAAGGTCCCTGAAGGGACCCACCATGGTCCAGCTGAATATTTTCACTGTTTCACACAGATTAGGCACTTCACAGAAAAGCTATTTCGATGCAGTCGCATTGTAATGATTGTGTATAAGCTGGGAATGATGATGGTACAAGGGGCACAGAGACGGAGAAGAATTAAGCAGGCTTTCCAAATATATTGTCACAAAAATGCTCATTTAACTGAGGGAAGGAAAGGACCACCGTCTCTTTCATAGGTATTAGAAATGGTGTGTTCCTGGAGTTGTTGGGTTTGATTTTCAGCCATGATAGGCAGCTGTTATGGCATTTGCTGGCACTAATTACTGCAGGACTTAAGCTAATCCTGTTTCTGAAGAAGCCCAGCTCAGCTGGGCAACCCCAGTTTTGCCTCTGCAGCCAGCCACAGGGAGAGCTCGGTGCTGCCAGGACATGTCTCCGAGCCAGCCCCATTTCTCCTGTGCTCCTGCCAGCTCCTCCATGGCGTGGCCCATGTGCACGGGGCTCCGGAGGGGCCAGAGGGGCCTTGGCAGAGCTGCTCTCGGCTCACCAGGCCGAGCCTGGCCGGAGCCATGGCGCAGCCCCAGGCAGCCCGGTCCTGCGGCTGCCTCCACAGCTGCAAGTGCTCGGGGGCAGAGGGAGAGAATAGGCATTTTTTAAAACCAGGAATTACTCATTGCATCTGGGAGGTCTCTGATGACACGTCCTTCTGGAAGACACTCCCTGTCAAAAGCAAGCTTATTACCAATTCAGTTTATTCTCTCATATTAGGTTGAACCACAGAGCAGCTGAGTTCAATTGACATCATTGGGTATTACCCAAAGAACAAAATTATATAGAATTAGAAAGCCTATTCTCCTCCCAAACAATTTTTTTTTAAATTCAAAGATAAATTTAAGGCGCTCTTTACAAAGCCGAAACTGCCACGCTGCAGCCAGAGGATGAGCTGCTGCTCTGGATGCGGGAGCCAGAGCCCCCTCCAGCAGCTGCCTGTGGTACCCCTGGGGAGCGATGCTGTGGGGTGTCAGGGCTCCCCGAAGTGTGGGGCACAGCCTGCACGAGGCTCACATCCCGCACGATCAGTCAGAGGCTTCACAGTCTTCAGGAAGTTAATAATCACTTACAAACTCAGAAATTTTTAATGGATTTAAACTAAAATTTAATTTAACTTTCAATCAAGTTGTGTCAACTTTAGCTTAAGGTTAGGTGACAGGCGGTCAGGCTGAACTGCTGCTCTGAACCTCTTCATTTTGCTTTCCTGCCAGCCCCAGAAGAATAGAGTTACTTTTTTTTTTTAATTTGCGTAAAGGTAAGGGTGAGTATGCTCAAAAGGAAATATCTGCATTCCCCAAAGCCTTTGCTCATGCAAGTAAGCAAACAACACCGATGTAAGATGCCACTGTGTGGCATCTGCAGCACTAAATATCCAGTTTTGTGTTGGGCAGAAAATGTTTTTTTTCCCTGATGCATAGCTTGATTTCTAAGTTATTTTCTGGCTTTCCCTGTGACTAGAGAAAGGATATTGGGGGTCATACAGAAACTAGAAAGTCTCTGAGGTTCAGATTGGCATGTTCCATATGTTTGAACCTGAGCCAGCCCCCCCAAAATTATTTTCCCCCGGGCTAGGTTGGTGGGCATCCCTGTTTGCTTTTTGATTTGGGTTTTTTTCTTTACTTCTGCAATGTGGGCCATAAGCAGCTGTCTAGGATTGTCTGAACATTTTTACTCAGTAAACTTAGTGGCTGTGCCCTAAGAACATCTCTCTGCTCTCTTCCCCAGCACACTATTTTATACAGTTTTCAGTTTGTTGTATTAAAAGCATTAAATGGAGTGTTGACAAGGATTTTGTGTAAGAGATGGGCTTTTATTGGACTCCTCTAGGCAGAAATGTCCATAGCATGACTGCTGGTGGTTGCTGGTCACCAACCTGATGGGTTTCTTCCTCCAACCTCCCCCACAAAGAATTACTTTTTTATAAGAACCTTATAGAAAATTTATTTTAATAATGCTTTGCAGAGTTGGACTTCTAAATTCCAGAGAGTTCAGACCGCTGCTCCCACTCTTGGACCCAGCATTTTAAAACAAGAGATGCTATGTCTTTCTCAATTCTAGGTGGGATTTAATCATAGCCCCTGTTATATCTTTTTTGCTCCTGTTCCAGAGGAGGGACTGATTTACACACAACTCATGATGGGTTTTTTTGTGTTTAAAAATTTTTTTGCCTTAGTTTGAAAGGGTGTCTTACTATGTGGTTACTCTTGCCAGGTGCTTTCGTATGCACCTGCTTTCTTTTCCTGGTAATTAAGTGTCTCAAGCTGGTAGCAACTTCCAGGCTGTCTCTCTGCCTGAGTTATCCTGAGTGTAAGCCTACAGTTAAACAGAAACTGTTCTGTTCTCTTTGCTCGTGTGATCTTACATCAATTCACCAGTTATTATTTCCTCTTGTCAAATGAAGCAATAGCAAAGCTTTGAAATGATGTTGCAGCTTTTCTAAAAAACAATTTCCCTCTCGTTCTCTTGTCTCCTCTGCCTTTCCCCATATATTTGATAGTACATCAGCTTCCTCTGGAAATGGTCCTCAGTAGAGCACTTCAGCTATTTCAACTAGTGTTTTTTATGAAGGTATTTTTTTAAAAACTAGCTTCTACAGCAGGGTTTGATTATAATGAAGAACAATAAAAAAAAATCCTTCTGCCTTGGAGAGCGAGTCTTTGTACGCACTAATGCTTGTGGTGAACTCTGTGCCTGGAATATCCCCAGTGGTATTGTGTACACACACAGACTTAAGCAGCTGTGTAAGTGCTTGCAAGGTGATGGCTTTAAATCTCACTAGGAGCTAAAAAGAGATGCACTGCAGAGCAGGAGAGACTAAATGAAGGCAACTCACATTAATTGTCTTATTTATTCAATTATCTGTGTTTCTAAAGTGGCAGTTATTTAGCAACATATACAGTGAAGAGAACAGCAATGATCTTCCAAAGATTTTCTTTACTGAACTCCAATACTTGTCATCACTTTGATCTACCCAGGATATTCAGGAAACTTGCAGTCTGGGCAATTTCCCAGTGATGCTGAGTGAATATCTGATATGACAGAAGACTCCAAGGGCTACAGGATTTAATCCTAGCACAGTTTTTCAGATTAATAAATGACATAACCAAAACCTCTCCAGAGTTAGTTTCTTGCTCTTACTGCAGGATTGAATTTGGGCTTAGTCTGCTCCAGTGTTTCTTTTTGATGTAATTGCCTAGGAAATCACGGAACAATAGTCTTTTGAGTTGACAAGATTTTAAATGCTTGTGGGTTTGAAAATAAGAACCAGATAAGAACTGTATCAGGAGTCAGATTAATAGCCAGCCTGCAGTACAGAGATCTTGGGTGATGTGCTTGTCATGTGTACCTTTGTCTAAGAGAAGTTATTCTGTATGGAGTTGTTGGCAGCATGCAAGTGGAACAGGAGCAGCCTGTCGTGGTGGCCCAAATCTTCAAATAAACCAATGGAAATTCTGGCTTGGACAGCATAGGTTAATGAAGTTCACAATTTTTACAGCCTTTCTGTACAAAGTTTCATGAGAACCGAACAATGACTTGGGACGCAATAGGCTATTCACAATACCAACAGGGTTTTCCTGGGGGCATTGCTAATACCAGTGCACCACAACAATCCAGAACAGCTGAAAAAAAGGATGCTTGGAAAGCTGGAAAGATTTTTGTTCACAGTAATACATGGTGTCAATGAATTGTGCAATGAGAAGTCTGTAAGCATGGATCTTTCTGGGTGCTGAAGGAAGTGGAGGAGAAATCATGCCTCTCAGAGCTTTTGTTTCAGACTCTGAGCAGCTTTTGGTACTCATTATCATTTTCAGTTGCTGTTTTTTAAGATGTTTCAGCAAACAAAGAACTTAGAAAATATCTTTTTCAAGGGTAGACTGGAAAAAGAGTGGAAGACTTTATGAAGCAAAAGTTAACAGCTTCCGAAGTATAACAATATAAGCAACTTAATAAACATTTGAGTGGTAGGTCATAAAATTTCTTTTAGATTTATATAAGAAAAGAATACATTGTATAAAATGATAGAATAGATGACCTTTCTTCCTTTAAAAGCCTCAGGAATTTCTCTTTAATGGCAACATAGTATTTGGAAATACGATTTCCTAAATAAACAATGTCATATTGCTTAACTTAAGGAAATGCACTTTAGCAGTGAGTTTCAGCACTGGTTTGACTCCCTTCCCTTTCTGTAGGACAGCTGCAATGACTTAATGAGTTAGTCTAGCCTTGGCTGTGATGGAGAGGGAGGCAAGCCAACCTGAGAGGGACCACGTTCATAGCGTGTATGAGAAAATTGCTCCTTACTTCAATGATGCACACTACAAGGCATGGCTGAAGGTGCAGCAGTTCATTTCAGAGCAGGAACCAGGCAACCTGACTGCTGATATTGGTGAGTTGTGTTGTTTATCGCGTTGCTAATCACAGTCTAAGTATGTCCTCTCTTTCTATCAAGCAATATTTGTGACAGAAGGGTTTGGAGCTTGTGAATCAAACTGAGGAATCAAAATGGCCAGACTGACTACCAAATTTACATCCTACTTTGCTCTACCATTCATAGGTATAGGAAGACAGTTTGACTTTTCCCAGTATCCAGCAGGTGAACTAAACTGAAGCAGTAAAATGAAGCTAAATTTATTAAGATGTTGTTTGTAGATGCTTATGCTGTGTATTGGTATCGTAATTCTGGAATTTGAAATCTTGTTTAGCTCTTACAACATGTGTTGTATGTGGCCGGTTTGAAGCAAGTATCATGACACTGTCCTTTGGGGAACAATGTGTGTCCCCAGGTATTTAATTCCCAAAGGTTTGAGATTGTCTAAATGATATGAGGGAAACCTCTGTACTGGCTTCAGCCCCTGCACCAGAAGTAGATACATTCTCGTTGCCCAAATGAGATCTAGGCATTAACTCATCATTTCTACATGTTTAGGCTAGACTTCTAAATAGCTTTTTGGACCTGTAATCTTCTCCAGCAGCACATATTTGTAGTGTCCCCATTATAGCATGGCAATGTTTGTAAAAGAGAAAAATTACTATGTGAGGGTTGGGATAATCACCCTAAGTTTTTGGGTGTCTTTACCATGTACTTTTCCCGGTTTATTACAGTCTAAATGCTGGGCACTATATTCATAGAATCATAGAATCATAGAATCTTTGGGTTGGAAGGCACCTTTCAAGGTCATCTAGTCCAACCCCCCTGCAGTGAGTAGAGGCATCTTCAAATAGATCAGGTTGCTCAGAGCCCCATCCAACCTGACCTTGAATGTTGCCAGGGATGGGGCATCTACCACCTCTCTGGACAACCTATGCCAGAGGTTCACCATTCATGTTTTAAAAAATTTATTCCTTATGTCTAGTTGAAATCTACCCTCTTTTAGTTTAAAACCATTACCGCTTGTCCTGTTGCAACAGGCCCTGCTAACAAGTCTGTCCCCATCTTTCTTATAAGCCCCCTTTAAGTCCTGGCAGGCTGCAAGAAGGTCTCCAAGGAGCATTCTCTTCTCCAGGCTAAACAACCCCAACTCTCTCAGCCTGCCCTCACAGGAGAGGTGTTCCATCCCTCTGATCATTTTTCTTACCAGATTTTGGCAGATTTTGCAGTGTTTTCAATGTGAACAAATAAAACACATACAAAGAACCAGCACATTGAATTTTTAGCAATGACACAGACTTTAGACTTCATTAATGCAATAATTTAAGCTCAGACTTGGCTCCTGGGCTTTGGCCTGTGGCGGCTACTGGCACACTTTTGTGGCATCCATGGCCAGAGAAGAATTTTCTGTGAAACACAATTGCCAACAGTGGTGCCACAGAGCTGGAGAGGAGTCTACCTGCAGGGGTTTCCTCTGCCCAACCATCCCTGGGAAGCAGCCTCTGGTGTCAGATTAGAGGAAATGTTTTTAGTAGCTGTCATTTGACTTGTACTGGATTCTTACCCTCCAAAAGCTAAAACCAGAAAAAGTCCTGGAGTTCTCTTCTCGTCAGAGCTCCAGGATAGTCCTCCTGCTTTTTCTCCTTGGAAAACAGAGCCTAATATTAGCCAAGTGCTGGCACAGTTTCACAGCACCTCTGCTCACCTGGTGCTGAAGCCAGGCATGGGAATGACTGAGAGCGCTCCAGCTTTTCTCTGGATATCTTTAATTCCTGGGAGATGGGATCAACAGTTAACAGTAGACAAGCAGTTAGGAGCAGACTTCCATCTGCAGCTCAGCAATGATTCATCTCCCATTCAAATGGCATAACAGATTGATGGGGCAGGGAGGCTCCTTACTGAACATAGGGACCCACACAGGCTTTCAGAACAGGTGCTATGGGATGACTGTAACCTAAACATAGAGACTTAAATATTTGGAAGGCTCCAAAATAACTATTTTTTTTAAACTAATTAGAGATAAAATCTGGGCTCTGACCCAAGCTTAATGTTTGAGGTAAGCATAGTTATAAACAGGATGTGAACTAAGGTCTGCACAAGGTACAGAGTATTATGTTAGGCCAATGAATTTACCTCCCTGATCTTAATCTGAGCTATGACTTATGATGCAAGTGAGAAGGCAAGTTTTTAAAATCAATAATCTACTTTAAAATGCACTTTGTGTTAAGATCCAGATAATTCTACAAACAATTTATCAAAAATTTAGATAAGATCTGTTTTACTGCTGACATTAAAACCATTCTTGTCTAAAGATGTCTGCCTCTGTTTCAACACAAGAAGTATTTCAATTTGGAAAGATGTAAATTTACATGTCACAGGCTCCATTATGAAAAGGAAACTATGTGGAGATACCAGAAAAAGAAACTCCACTGTTGTCATGGTGACAGCAATTAGCAGCAGTTAAAACAGCAAACAATGGATTTAATGGTTTGGTCTAATAGTGACTTAATTACTTAGCAGTCTAGTTTGTCTATCAGCATTTCGATACACAGGAATAATTCAGTGCTGTGCTCCCACTACATGACGCTTTCACTTAGCGTTTTGAGTGTATTACAAGTAGAATTGCAGTAGCACCATTACCATAAATATTTTTGATTCCATATGTGGTGGGAAGGCCAAAGTAAATGCTCCCTAGCAATCCCACTTGAACACCTCCTGTCACGCAGCAGAGAGCCTGCTAGACAGAAAGGAACAGTCTGTGCTCATTGTACTGTGATGGTAAAAAATAACCTGAATTCCACTGCAGTTGTATCATCTCCTTTAAAATGGGTGGAGAATTTCAAGCTATTAGGCCAGTCAAGGGCGTACATCATGGCTTATGTCGGGAATACATTTTCCTTTGTACAGACACCAAATGACCGCCTTTCTTTCTCCTCCTCATTATTTCTTCAGGCTGTGGAAATGGCAAATATCTTCACATCAATTCTCAAGTCTATAAACTGGGATGTGATTACTGTTTCCCGTTGGTGGAATCAGCACGAAATGAAGGCCATGAAGAAATGGTATGCCATAGCCTGTATCTGCCTTATCGAAGTGAGTGCTTTGATGCTGTCCTGTCCATTGTTGGTAAGTTCTGTGTACTGCCAGTGTCTATAGGTCAGGCCTTTAAAGGGTCCAAAGCATTTAGTCTCTTCCAGGTTTGTTTGTTTTTTCAGTGGCCAGCAGAATATTTTGGTTTTTGTAGACCAGGTAAATCTTTATTGACACAAGAAAAGTATGTTATCGCAAATTCAATGAAAAACAGAAGTATGGGTAGGTCACACAGAAGAGAGCTGTTTTATTCTGGTCCAAGCACAACTAAAGTACAATGTGCAAAACAGGAAAGGAGAGCCTTATTTTTGCCTTATTACATGGCAGAAATTTGAAATGTTGGCTCTATCAGGAGGAAAATACAAAAAAAGTTGCTTAGGAGCACCGAGCGTATTCGAAGATCAGTATTAAATCCTTCTGCACCTTTACAAACGCTGGTTTTTACTCCCATGCTCCATGGTTTGTCGGCCAACACAATAATTTTTGTGCTGATGAGGATGACCATGACACTGATCTGGCTGGAAAGTAACCATCAAGAAGAGAGATTGTTTTAGCCAAATCAGTTACCCATTGTTTCACCGTAGAGAGACCTATTTTCAGCAAAAGCAGGGGATAATGCAGAGAAAGAACAAGGAACTGATGACAAAGCAAGCAGAAATACTTGTTTCAGTGGCACTGTTGTCTTAAAATGTTTGTCAAATAACCTCAGATTTCATTTCTTGTAAGATTTTTCCTTTTTGATTAGTTGCCCTTTTCAATGTAACTTAATGATGGAGGAACTACCTGTCTTAGCCACTCCTAAAGCAAACATTGAATGGTAGCTTTAGCCTTTGTTTTTTTTCTTTTTTAAATTTTGAGGGTTCTTTTGTTTTGGGAGTCTTGTAATTACTCAATCACCTTTTAAAGTTAGGTATTAAGCTTATACCAATTAAAAGTTAGACAATACTGTAAATAAAACAAATTACAGTGCTCAGCAAGCTTGATTTTCCTTTTCTCAACTAAAGGAGTGTGGAGGTCTCTAAGCCTTGTTAAATCAAAGTGAAATGTTAATATCTCACATCTCTTGAAGTTAGTGAGTAGCCTTACACAGCCTCTTCTCTGTGTCTCGGGTGACCTTTCTTTAAGCCCTGAAGGACTTTACTTTTCAAGCTCAGGTCCATATCATATAATTTGTCATTTGATGGACATTTGAGGTTGCATTACTGTTACTGGTACATCACTGGATGGGGCTGTGAATGATGCTCAGCTGTACCATCTGAAAATCTTTCACTCATGATTTAAGAAACATGACCAATAGCTAACAGTCTTTTTTATTGGGTTTCCACATCCTTTGCTCAGATGGAGTAACAACCATCGTGTGCTCAAAGGTGGTTTGGCATTCTCTGGAAATCCAGGGTAAGGAAGTGAAGAACGAGCCAGATTTGTTGAAAAGGGTATGTAGCAATGTTCAGAAGTAGTATAACTCAAAAGAGTCTGTGCCCCAGGAACACTTGTGAACAGCCTACAGAAAAGCAGAGTAGCTGGGCTGAGGTTGCTGCTAGAGATGCAGAACTACAGACCTTCCCATCCACAGCAAACTAGAAGCCCTGTTTGCATGGTTGCTGTGTCAGAAGCTAGAATCAGTGAGGAATCCAGAAGGACACTTGGGCAACAAGTAGAGCTGCATCATTATGGACTGTGGCCCTTTCAGCACTATAATATGGCTGCAGATTACACAGTTATTTCTGTTACAGCCTTTACCATCACAGATCATGCAAGAACCATACTAATGATCATGTTTCCTTATTACTGCTGAAAAATATGTTTCAGATGCATTATAAAGCTTCAAATAAAGTGTTGAATTATACATATACTAGTATATAGTATAATACTAGTATAGTACATATATACTATAGTTTGGGTAAGCATGTGTTCTCTTAATCTTCAGGAGATTGTCGAAGGAAGCAAGACATTTCTGTAGGCCTTCTAAAGCTAGGTCTATAGTAGGAAATATTGGCAGAAGAGGAGTGTCAAGCCTAACTTGATTTTTCCCTGTACTCAACACATACTGTGTATGCATATATAATGAAGGATTTTTACCATTTCCATGAATGGAATAACCTGTGCTGACAAGAAACAAATCTAGACATCATCTATAAGCAAATGTTTAGAATGTGTTGCTTTCAAATGTTTAACTTTCTGCTCAAGGAGACAAATTTGCCCTGTGAGTATGTAATTCATTCCACAATGTTTTCACTGCCTTAAAAAAGAAATCATACTCACTTTCCCAGTGTATTCATAGCATAATTTTACATGAGATTTAATATCACCAACAACAGAAATCATCCCCTTTGTCATATACTGATGGTTTTGTTATTGTCAGCACGATGAAGCCATTCCTGTATTATTGAAATTAGTATTTCTACCACTTGCAGTAATGGAAAGGGGACTGGCACTCATGTTTCCACTTTGGCTAAGGAATTGTTCCAAATCATAATTTTTTAATTTTTTTGGCATGGCTTTACCTCTGTCAAGGTGGCTTTCTCCTATATATGGAAAGCTCATGTTCTGTGTTACTAAAATCTTATATATGCTGATCTGTTGGACTCTGGGATGGGCAAGGGATAAGAAGCAGCTTTTTCTATTAGTTTAGATAGATAATTTCTTTCCTTCAAATGCAAAGGTGAAGACATCGCATTTTCCTCTCCTATTAGGAGTCAGATACTCAAGTCAGGAAAATTATTTTATATTACTGAAATATCTGATAAGTCTATTCATCCCAGTGGGAAAAAAGGGTGTGTGGAGTGAAGAGCATCAAAATGTCTTTCCTCGGTGTTAATACCAAGATGTGAAAATTAACTTCGCTTTAATCTGTGATCTTTTAGTCATGTGGTAATTTAACAGAAAAAAGCAAGGGGAAGCTAAGGAACCTAATTCTGTCTAGTCCTCTAACTTGCACTGCCTGAGAAAATGGTCTGCATAATTGCAAATACTATAATTCTTAAAGTTTACAGTGTGGAACAGTCCCTTGGGCAAAAAAGAAGTCCAAATAAAAGGTCCAGGAGAGTTTCCTTACTATATAAGGTTCTGCCTCTATGGTAAAATTCAATGAGATGCCAAGCAAGAAGAAACCAAGTGTTGGTATCAGATCATATCAGTGTAGTTATATTGCACTGCTGTGCCAATTAATATGGGTATAACATTGCAATGTTCTCATGACATGGTTTCTTTACCCCATAAAGAAACCTCATATTTCTGTGCAATCTTCGTTATTTCTGCGTAACACTGAGTTGTCAGATAGGTATATCATCACTATCTGCCAGTTCTCCTAAATTCTGTTTTTCCTAAGGATCAATAAGGATTACATTCTAACATTTTTTTAACTCTTTCCAACAAAAAGGCATTGTGGTCAGAAAATTACATTCCCTAAAAGAAGCAGTATTAAAAGCACAACAAGTAACCTGTCCCAGTGAAAAACAGAATATAATGAGGATTGGTATTAACAGCATCAGGAACTCTTTAATGCCATAGAAATTGAAAAGAAAACATCAAAAACCATGATTATCAATAATTATAAGGGACGGTGTGAAGAACCAAAGTCAGGATTACTACAGAGTAACATGAATTAGAACTAGGATAAGGTTTTATAAATGCATACAAAGCAAGAGGAAAACAAAAAGGAAAGAAGAGCAAATAACAGATGGCAGGGGAAGTTGCATTTTTATTTTGTCTTTACAAAAAGCTAATAGTAGTCATCAACAATTAGTAGAGTTTTAACCAGAGGACAGGAGTTTAGACTAGAAAAAGGAAATAATATCTTAAAGAACATTTAGATAAATTAGGTTACACAAATTGTTAGGAAATCATGAAATTAATCCTAAACTACTGTGAACTAGCAGATTATCTTTAAGATCTCCAGCAAGTGAAAAAAAGCAAACATAATACTTGTTTCCAAAAGAGAGAGAAAGGACATCAAGAGGAAGCCAGCCTAATGTGGATTTATGCAAGGATACTAGAATAAATAATTAAAATAATCTAATTTAAATAGAATAAATTATTTAAACATTCAGAATACTAGTGTAATGGGAAACAGACAACATGTATTTGTCAGGAGCATGCCGATCTGCTTTCTGTCTTTGACAGGGTAATCATCCCAATAGACAGGGTAGCAGGAGAGGACATGATATATCTTGACTCTCGTGTCATTGTTGCTAGTGAAATAAATAAATACAGCTAAGAATATGAAGAAAAAAAAAAAATCATTCTCAAAATGGATCAGTGGTTCACGGTCCAATCAGGACACATGTCAGATGGGATGCTCTTGGGACCCACCCTACATCTGTTGCTATGCAAAATTTTAATTAGTAACTTTGACGGCAGGCTTGAGAGCATATTGAACAATTTGTGAACAGCTCCTATATAGGAAAAGTTGGAATTATTTTGGAAGGTGGGACTTGACATACAAATGATGGAGAGTTGTCTGAAATCAACAAGAAGACATACAGAAACCATCAAGACGGACGTACCATGCTTGGGAAGGAAACATTCAATGAACAAAGTGGAAAATAATGGCCAGGCAAGATGGACCATAGGCCAAATACATGTGAATAATGTCATGCTGTTACAAAACCAGGCAAATAACTGTCTGGGCTACAGTGAGAGAGCAGTTTCATGGAAAGCAGAAGAATGAATCACCCTCCTGTGCTTGGTACTTTTGAGATCCTAGGTGGAATATCATCTCTGCTTTTGGGGACCATGCCTTACAAAGTTTGCAGTCAGTATGGAGACATTTTAAATAACTGATGTTTAGAAAATCTGAATTATTAGAGGAAGCTGAAGGAATTGGGTTTGGTTAGTCAAGAAATAAAAAAAAATAAAAGACTGAAGGAAACATAGTAGTCTTCAAATACATAAATGATTTTTACAGAAAGCTGATCTTTATTTGACATGGAAAGAAAAAAAATAATCACCTTACCCTGCAGCAAATGTTATTTACCTCAGGTATTAAAAGGCTTTTAAGAGCAGGTTAGACCAATTTGGGTCACATTTGGGCCAAG